TCATCTGATTTAAATTCCCCAGATCTCTATGACAGCCTGTTTAGCACTGTGCTACTGCATCAAGAAATGCACAGGAACTGTTTTACAAGTATTAGATTCATGTTTGTAACAGAGGTGTACTTGTTTTAATCAGGCATTTCAGTGCTGTATATTATACTCATGAACAGAGCTGCTGGGTGACTGTGGGTCTGTAGATGTGTCCCAGGGTCTTCACTGGCTGGGAATTATCTGCTGTGGAGCCACAGAATCACAGTTCCTAGAAAAACTTAGTCTTTTCTGATGATAATCCTTTCTTGCAGTTTCCACAGAAACCATATTAATGTAGAAAAAGTGTTTATTTAACAGGACATTGATGTTAGATGAAAGAGACCTTCTCAGTTCAGCTACAGACTTTATGTGCAATGTTAGACAAGTCACTTTAAAGATCCTGTGACTCATATTGTATGTAACATGAGGGTAAGTGATTTCACATGCACTCTTAATTAATGTTTTGATGAGTAGCAGGAGACAGAATATGTGCACAGATTTCTGATCTCTTCTACTGAAGGACAATCCTTCTCCCATCTAATCAAGCTAGTAAAAGGTGCCTTGAGGGGAACAGACTTTCTGACAGTTGTAGACAGACAGGTAGTTAAGAATAAATCCAAGAAAAAGTAACTTATACCCACCTTTAACTTGAGCTATGTAGAGTCCATTCAATTTTCATTACGCAACCAAAACCTGAAAACGTGAAATTTTCCACCCAACGTCAATGACTGTCACAAATCCTCTAATTTCTCTTGAATGAAAACATGTGCTAAGTAGCTTTAGAATATGTCATCAGATTTTTTTGTGTGCGTTATAAACCGATACCTTATAATGACTTGATCCAAGAGAAACAATTGTGACCTAACAACCTTAACAGCCATGTAAGTGCCACAGATCCTAGCTTTGCTGGGGCTGAGCTACCCATTCAGCAGAAAGTTTGTCTAAGTATTGAATTTTAAACAGACAAAATCAATGACAGTCCCTTATCTTCTCCCGTACAAGATTCTGATGGGTTTTGCTTCCCATTTTAGAACATCAGTGCATGCTAATTTAGAGTATGAACAAACTAAGGAGTAAAATGTACTAAGAGTTGATTTTGCACAAAAAAGAGGGAATGTTCTAAAGACTGTTTTGTACACATTTCTATAGATAGGATGCAATTGATACAGCTGTTTTTAGAATGAAATCAATGGGCGCCTCTTTGTAAAACCCAAGGCATTGTATCACCCCAGACACTGAAAAGCCATTTTTGAGAGAGCTGCTCTCCATTGCTTTTGCTTCAGTCAAACTTAATTGAAGGGATCCAGGTGACAAAACAGTGTAAAGAGATGGAATCTGAAAACTAAGGTGAAAGAAGAAGGTGCCTGTGAAAAGAAGAGGATTTGCAAGCTGACCTTGAGGCTGAATTTTTCCATTTCCTAAAGAATGTCCTGGAAGAAGTCATTTAGTCTATGTCATTTACTCCAAGATAGTTCAACTGATATTCCTTGGGACTGGCTAGAAAATGAATCCGTAAGGTAAAAGAGTAATCCAGCTTCCAAGATCACTCAAACTTCTGTTTATTTGCCCAAGACTGCTACCTTATTAGTAGTATACTACTGCATATTAGTACCACCAATATTTAGGGAGTGAGTACCTCCCCTCTTGGAACTGCACCAACTTATTTCTCATCTTCTAAGCAGCCACAGGATGGCTGTACAGTTTCGATTTTATTCACAATTTACCTAGGCTGAATTGGATTCGGTGGCTTCAATTCTGATTTAAAGTGATAGGCCCAGTTCTTATTCACAATAAAGCTCTTTAAAGAACTGTTTTAGAGGCACATGGAATTAGGGAATAAATAAATTCAACCACTTTAACAGGATGTATTCAGCTATGAATACGTGCTCAAAAGTGTTACACAAAACTAGTAATTTCCAATGGAGAGGTGATAACCTTTTTAGTGTCTCTTCTTTCACCCATCAGAACCATATAAACGGGACTCAGTATAAACAAATCTTTGTATTCTGATTTATATTTCTTCACTGCCACTATGTCATTCAATTAACCTTCATTCTACCATGTGACTAGAATTTTTTTGTCATAAACCATTTTTAAAGTCTACAATGATAAAAAAAGAGAAAAAAAAATCCTCCAAAGAAGTCAAGAAGAATAAGATTGATGACTTTCGTTCATGAATCCAACAGTTTAAATTAAAAAATCCAAAGCCCTCATGACTTTAGTTAATTGTACTTTGGAGATGGGATTTCACTATTTAACTTTCTGCAGTTATAATGAAAACTTGTCTGCACATTGAATTATTTTTTTTTTTTTTAAATCCCCTAGTATTTCATTATAATCTTTTTGTTATGGGAGTCAGAAATACAGGAAACATTTCAAAACCAGTCAGTTGAGACAGTAAGCAGTTAAATAACTCTGGAGAAGAATCTCTTAATGCTGCAAAGATGTAAGCATGTGCCGAAATGTATGCATGAATAGTCCCATGTGTAAAGTTAATTGCCTAGATCAGCACATAATGATGATGCAGCACCATGGTACAAATAAACTAAAGTGATTACATGGACAAAGACTGTATCTTTTCATTTTAAAAAGATAATGATTAGAATATTACATTTCCTTCCTGTCTTTATTTGAAAGGGTGCAAAACAGAGATAACTCACACAGCTCCTCCTGGGCAGTCTTATTAACTCTGACTGAGGTCTTGCTTAGCTCTTCACCTCTCTGCAGTCTGCAGATTAGAAAGGAGGTGCCCAGAGCACTTTCTGTCCTGCCATTGGACTCCAGTTTTATATCCCTGTTTTAATAGCTGTCGCATGGAGTAATCTCCGTATAGGACATGCTTTTCCCAAGGTCTCTTTCCCCCCATCTTTCTGACAGTTTATTATGACTGAAGTGGAAATGTTACATAAAACAAGCTGTTTATGGAAATCTTATTTCTGTCACATGAGCTCTATCCTGATATGACAGGCACTGTATCTGGCTGCACGTATTAAATATATTAATTATATCTGTCATTATGCAATTCCCCTCTTATCACCACTGGTTTTTATAGTCCTGGTAAAATCTACTCTGAGCAGCAAAATCATTGCACCTTAGCACACTTTAACGTATATAACGATCTGACATAATAAGGATACTGTCATTGCAGAAACACCTTCCTACACCCATGTGGGTACTTGAAAATCTGTGCTTTCTCCATCCTCCTACATAAATATAGTAGCTTAGGAACTTTTATGCTGTGCCTTGATTTTTAATGATAAGAGATGTCAGGTACCATTTAAAACATAAGAGATGAAAAGAGGACAATTCAGCTTTAACTATAATGTAGCTTTCCTTTAGATGTAGTCACCTGCTCTACTTCTGTGAACAGCGAAAAGTGTGAGAAAATATGAAACAACTAAAGTTTTAAACTGGAAAGCATTAAGATCCAATCTTAGGACCCCTTTCTCTCACTGTCGGTTACCTAAAGAACATAAACAGCTTAAGGTGACAGACTTTGATGCCAGCAACTAAGTATGCAAGATTTCTACAAATGGAATCTAAACTCTGGTAGATCTAATCTTCTCAAGTGTCTATAATACCTATCTATGGCTTGTTCTCTTGCACTTTAGCATCCTGTCTCCCCCCATGACAGTGGTTCAATGTCTGTCTTCTCAAAACACAAGACACAGGTTTTGGGCACCACAAAATAAGTTCAGTCAGGACTTTGCTAATCTCTTGCCTCCAAATTGTGCCATCAAAATAATGGATAAGTCTAGACTGCCCTTCTGGATTCTGGTGCCTCAGTGTAGGATTTCTATACAGGTTAAGAATTCTAGATTTTTGCATACAAGGAAAAATTCCATATATGTTATGTTTAGAATTAAAAAATAGAATGTATATAGAGAAAATTAGCTAAATTCTACTGCAGGACACTGATGTTTGTGAATCCCAACCTAGATTTTGGAGATATAATTGCTGAGAGAGATATTTTGCCCTGTTGTTAAGGTAACTGTTCATAGGTTAGTGGTCCATATTTAGGAGACCCAAAGTGCTAAGACTGAATGTTTCTGTGTTACCATGTTGTGCAGCACATCTGGATTGTCAACCTGCAGTCAGAGTAGCAAAGCATTCCCTGTGTCTGAGCAGCAGAAATAAAGATTGGTACTAAGCAACCCAGTATGGCTCAAGTAGAAGCTCTGGATCTCTTGTTATATTTTGCTTTGTTGCTCATTTGCTTTAGGAATGACACAGTTCTGGCCGTTGTCAGAGTGACAAGAATGGCTACAGTAGTTGCCTGTTTCGTCAACAGTGTTTTGGAAGAGATCAGAGAGTTTTGCAGTGGTGAGGCATGACAGGATCCAGCCTTTATACCAATACAAGAGGAAGATGGACTTTCTCCTGAATTTTTACAGCAGCACCGGGGAGGAGGGAGGCCCACCCCACCGAGGAGGCTCACCTTTTACCAAAGCATTACGTGGCAGTGGCGGCAGCCTGCAGCTGGCATCGCCCCTGCTCTCTGGGTCCCGCTGCCAGCCCAGTCGGGCGCGGGACAGAGGAGGTGTGC